ACGTATATATATATTGTATAAACATACGTGTAACTTGTAAATTACGACTTGTATGTACTGTACAACACGTAACTTGTTAAGACGTATATAAACGTTAAAATTTTACGTTTGTTTTACTTGAATACAGCGTTTATATACTTATAAATAACGTTACTCTTCTTTAACACTGTTATCAAAGAACACTTCATTTTCTACTTTATTTATTTGACAAAAGTGTCTCAAATTTACAGCGTAACAAAGGTTAAACCGTAACGTTTATGTAAGTAACACTATAACGTTTATATATTTGACTTTATAAAGTATGTAAACGTTAAAGTTACACACCTTAGACACGTGACGCGTTATATTAATTAAGTAACATTGTTTGATAAACGTTAAAATTGAGTTTTAAACACCCGAAACAAGTGTTTTATTACGAGTTTCGATATCTAAGAACGATACAATTTAATGAATTCGACTAATTTTCAGTTAATAACCAAAGAGTGGGTCGAAAGGCACGTTTTTGTCACTATTTAGTGCAGGTGTGGCCATATAAAGCGTAACGTTAATTTACTAATGCAATTATACGACGCGTGTAGGCGTAACGACTGGATGTTTATCCCTTTGCTTCCAGCCTAACCTCCTATCTATATCCCAAATAACTCTATCATTGGAAGTTAAATAATTTAACACATAAAAATATTATTACCCCAATGGCATCCCCTGATGGTATTTTTTCTCGAAAAGTCGTCTATTGCACCTAACCCATACTCTGTTGGATGCAATAAACTTTTTATTGTAATTAATATTCCTCTTATTGACGTCCCTTTAGCGGTTGCCCAATAGGTAAACTTAATTCCTTTATCGAGCAACTGATAAATAATCTTTATTAACTTTAGTAATTTTAACACAAACGAGATAATTAACAGAGTTATGTATGCCCTTTTGAAAAATTTTGATCTTGTAATGAAGATTCCATCACGTTCGTGAGGATCCGCAATGGAACTTCCTTATTTTCTTATACATCCTTCTTTTTATTTACTGAAGACCAGGAAGATCCGTAGTGGGAGACAGAGGACACGCGTTAGGGCCTTCAATTTCGACACGTGTTCTACCTGTCTTTCCTGGAGTGAAATCTGCAGAGAGAGACAGAGGTCACGTGTCAAGAGCCTCCGATTTCGGCACGTTTTTCCGATCTTTCCTGGAAATTCCACTAAACACCGTCTAACGTTGAAAGAAAGAAAATAGCGGAAAAGGTCGGGTGATCTGTTACGCTATCTTTTCTTTGCGCATTCCGTCTCTCCTCTTTCTATTGGATTATAATACGAGATCCTCTTTGGACGTGCTTATATAGAAACCGTATAGAAATAAGGAAAGAGAAGGTTTCGTTTCCCGTTTGAATCATACGCCAAACATTATTCAATTTTTGCCACAAAAATGCCTTTATCCTTTATCACATTCCTTATAAGGATTACGTGTAAGGAATTTGATAACAAAATAATAAGTTAAATTAATTAATTAATCCCTAAATCTAGGTTAATTTGAATTATGGCTATGTTAAAATCGTTTTCGTTAGTGAGGGGACTTGGGAAAATTATAACGACAGATAAAGAACAGTCAGAGAGACGGTCGTGTTTAAAAATTCACACGATGTTTCGGACAATTCGAGTAAATTCCTCTTAAAATGAATTAAATGTTTTCCTTTCGTAATTATGATTAGCTATGGAATTCGGATTAATTATCGAAAGAAATGTGCAAGAAATTGATTATTAATTATTATTCGAAAGGCTTTTTATTCAAATTATTTAAATTTAATGTAGATTTAATCGCTTCAAAGCGTGCGGATTTCAACGAGTGTCATCGCCATCGGGAATCCAATGATGTTGATGGGAACTTTATAAGAGCACGAAGAGTAAGCGAGCATCATCAGCTCGTGATGCATAAAACAGAAGGATGCTGCTGGTGATGTAATCGTCACCATTATCCTTCTATTTTATCCGCGGTTGACATTTCCTTCTTTTGCCTTTTGACTCTATTCTTCGCTCTCGTCATCCTCCGTACGCGACCACATCACTTCGGCCTCTTCTCTTTGATCGTCACTCACCGTATCTTCCTTNTGTATGGTTGAAGCAGATGATGATTTCCAAGTTTAACATTTATCGCTGTAAGAACTCGATTTTGTAGTTTAGTTTTCATTAAATTTAATTGCAAAAAAATACGTTCAACTGCTGCATTTGAATGAGGAAGCAATAAAAACATCTATTTACTGTCAAAGTAAAGTAAAAAAATACAGAAATATAGAATAAAAATGAATGTTTTGAAAGGAAAGGTATTAGGATTTCATGAATGGTACTAGGAAAATGGTGTTGGGTATCTTGGTACTGGGACAAGTAAAAGGTACTAGATTAGTACAAAAGTATTAGGTAGAACAACACCTGGTACAAAAGTAGCCAACTGCTCCAGCAGTTGGCTACTTTTGGGCTACTTTTTAAAAATTATTTGGCTACAAGGGCAAAAAACATCTGGCAACGCTGATATAGAACCTCTACATTTTTGACAAAGTTGACAAATCTGTAAAAGAAGGTTCTCTGGGATATTAAAAGTCTAAAAAAAGGAGAATAAAAACAAAAAAAGTTATGAGAATTAAAGTTCAATATAGCTATGTTAAAATGAATGGGAATAAGACATTATTTTTAAGTACTCTGTCAAAATGCAACTCTGACCTGTAGATGCAGAACACCTAAACAAGAACATGCAATATTCGATGAGTTAGTAAAAGTTAAAATTGCAAGTTTGTTTTATGAAAAATGGGTTTTGGAAATTTCATTTATAACTTTGACTTTCTGCCTCTGCCTCATTAAAATTGTATAAAAGGCAGAGATAGGAAGATGATAATCAATTATTGCTTGGAAATTTATAAAAATAATTAAATGTGAGATGAGACAATTTTAGAGGATATACATTGGCAGTTTCTCCATAATATTCTCCTGTTTAGGATCAAACTCTTTATATTTACTGTCAATATAGTCTTTAAAAGTAAATTTATGTTAAAATTAATGCTGTTGACTATTGTAATATCATGATAGCCTGATTTCACATTTAAAATATACAGAGATTTGGTAAGGGCAAAAAACATAATAATGGTCTTAAGGTTAATTGAGAGATTTAGATAATGTAATTTAGAGGACAGTTCATTTAAGCTATTTTTTTTTATATGTACTGTATTGTTCACTGTTAATAATCTTGATATCATTAATCTGCATAAACTACAGTAGCTAAAGTATGTTGGTCAAAAATTTTATTTATGTAAGCTATAAAAAATAAGTTACTTAGTATAGAGCTTTGTTATATTCCCATAGGGGTGTGAAAATGTTGAAGTACAGATCATTAATTTTTATTTTGTAGGTACATAAATATTTTACATAATGAATTCTACAAAAACCTTCATATTCTTCTGATTAAATAATAATACCTTTTAACAGTTTATTTGATATGAGATATGTCAAGTTGGTGACAGTAGATCAGTGAGGTAAGCCACAGTTTTGGTTAAAGGAAATATTACTGGTTATGAAAAAGTATACATGGTTGTAAATACAGTAATGCCTTGTATAACGTACTTAATCCGTTCCAGGTGCACGTCCATTAAGTGAAAAGTCTGTTATACGAAACGCATTTTCCCATAGAAATACATGTTAAAACATATAATTCGTTCCGCAGCATAAAATAATCATACTGTAGCATTAAAAAAATGAAAATGGAGCAGTCACCAATTATGCTGGGTAGACAGATGTTGTGAGGAGGAGGAACACTTTCTTCTCACATTCATACAGATACAGACTTTTTACACATTGCAGCAGGTCTCTTTTTATTGGTTTTTAATCAGAGTCAGATTCAGGAAAGGCTACCAGAGCTTGCAGGGTCATCTCCTCTTGTTCCATCCTTTGTTTTTTTGGCAGCTTGCTTCTTAAAAAAACATGTCCAAGGTGGTCCGTTTCTCTCTCTTCTTCAACACCTGTCAGAAATGACGGGCAAGGGTGTCATTGTATAGATCAGTGTTTTTCAACATTCTTGAATATGCGACAAGTTAAAAAATTCTGGCGACCCCCACAGCTATATTAAAACTATGTCAGTGATTTTCTTTTACAGTATTTAATTTTCTTTCTGTTGAGACTTGATTATTGATTAGATATTGATTAAAAAAAAAACTAATTGTACTGTAAAATAAACAGGCACAGCCTTCTCACTAAAATTGTATTTTTTTTTATTGTAGTGTAGGACCTAAAAACACTTGTCTTTTTCTTTTACCCGCGACCCCCATGTATGGCTTTGCAACCCACCTGGGGGTCGCGACCCACAGGTTGAAAAACACTGGTATAGATCATTGATCCTGTTGGCCTCAACTATGTGTGGATAATGAGTGTTGGTAAACTCCTGAACCTCTCCCCATTGGACAAGGAAGTTTTTGTCAACTTTCACTCCTTCTGATGATGTCTTGCTTTGTTTCAATTGAAATCACCTTTCTGTTTTTTTAGAAGCCATGATTTGCATAACACTTGAATAAATGTAAATACCCTGCACTGAGGTGATGTAAGCAATAAACAAGGGAGCAAGATGAATCCCAACGGGAGCTCTGTACTTCAGATATACTAATAATATATTCTAATAATACTAATATATTATAAAAATAGCAGATTGTCATTGGCAACTGCAAAAGTGTGGAAACATCATTCGCACTTGTTCGCAGAAAGACCATTGTTTGCCTCACATAACTGCTGAACGGAAAGTCCGTTGTTCGCAGCCAGTCCGTTGCTCAAGTCATGTAATGGCCAAACAGAAAGTCCGTTGTTCGCAGCCAGTCCGTTGCTCAAGTCATGTAATGGCCAATAAGAAAGTACGTTGTTTGCAGCATCCGTTATTCGAGGCGTACGTTATACGAGGCNCCAAAGCAATAAAAACTAACGACATAAAAGAATTAAAATTTAAAAAAATTGTCAGATCTGGCAACGCTCCGTCATCTGAATTTGCAATTTAAACTGGCAACGTTGTTGTTAATGGCGGTCGATATTAGTGTGCGAGTATAAACATCATCGTTTGTAACTTTTATAATCTCTAAAATGACACTTTTTCATTTCGGTAATTGTGTAGCGTTAGCGTATGTACCGTACTTTATGACTTACAAGTTCTCTGGGCTGTAAGTTTTGCTTTTTTTATACATTTATATTGCATCATTTTGAAAAGTTAATATAAATTAAAAGTTGAATAACTTAAATATAAATAAATGCGTCACTAATGATCAGCTGTGGTAAAATATTAATATTAAGATACTTACGAACACTTTTATTACAAAATTACATTTTGAATTCCCGCAATTTCATTAATTTGTTTCAAGGTCAATTATTAGGCTCTACTTAATTTCATTGAGTCTGTTTGACTTGTAGAATCTCAGTATTCCCATTAAAATTCATGTAGTCTTTCTTTAAATATATGGAGTCAAATTGATGATAAAATTCATACAATAGTTTAATTTTTATAGTACAGTTTCTTCCTGTTATGTTATGAACTAAACCAGTGATTCTCATAGTGTGGTCCACAGATCACACTATGAGAACCATATGAAATGAAGCTCCGAATGAGGCAGTTGGGATCTTGTCAGAGCTCAAGTAAAAAAGTCTCTAAGGAACTGGTGCTCCATGTGTGACCCTTGGCAAGATTTAGCCCCTCCGAAATAAGCCTGTGTGGAATTTTGAAGATCTTTGGAAATGGGTTAAACTTTAAAAGTATGTCCACAAGGTGGCATTGGATAGTTTGCAGAATAACCTACTCATTTTACCACAATGTAATTCTATACTGTTTGATTTAATTTAATCGTAGAATTTAATAATCAAATATTTTCAAATTTTTATCTAAATTTTATAATATTCTATTTTTGTGTGTTCTTTTAATGATTCTGATGTATGTTGATTTTGAGGAAGACCTTTAAATAAAGCTGGTTCCAGGGCAGAGCAAACAGCGCACTGGGAATACTCCTTGCTTACCTAGATTATAACAAAAAAAAAGTCAAGTAGACTTTTTTTGTTATAATGCAAGAAAATTTTGCACTGGGTCCTGCTGAAAGGACTAGTCCTCCTTTTGAAGATGGTTAAAAACATTTGAATTATCATAAATAAGTTTGCTGCAATTTTATGACTTAAGTTAATGTGTTAGAACTATTATACTTAAATTACAACCATCAATTGTTCATAAGAAATTAAAGAATAAGTCTTGGAAGACTGAAAGTAATGAACAAAAAAGAAGCTCTGAATAAAATGTTACATTAAAAAAGAAATTATTGAAGATTGTATTATAAGCAGTCAACTCATTAAAGACTTGGATATTCAAGTGTTGAGTCAATGAATTTGGAAATTTCTGTCTGATGATAATTTCTGAATTGAAGTTATTAAAAAAATATCTTCCACTCACAGTTCACAAGGCAGTTACTTTTAGTGTAGAGAATTGTTTTTGTTTCGATTCTATGATACTGGGCACTATTAACAGTGAAGGAGTATTAATTATATAATTTCTTGATGGACACCACAATGCAGAAAACTATTTGAACAACTTAAAGATAACTTTACAATTTTGTAATGAGTCTGTTTCTAACAATAAGTGGATTGGCAACAAGACACACCACTGTTCAGACCACAATAATTATTGTGCATTATTTTTTAAAAGAAAAACATTAATGTCTTGGAGTGGCCAGCCCCAATCTAAATAAAATCAAGAATGATTGGCATCTAATGTCATCAAAAATTTGTCAGCAATCAGTACAAGCTTGATTGCATAAGGAAATCAATTAAACAATGTACGAGACATTCCCAGCAAAAATTATTGCTAATCTTTTGAAATAAATTCCAAAATGATTAATTTCTGTTATAGAAAATAAAGATGGTGCCATAAATTATTAATAAGTTAAAATCTGTAAACAATTCCAATTTTTATTTTTTGACAAATAAACAATATCTTAATTTCTAACTTTTTGTAGAAATGCAAGAGTAGGCATTGTCTTTTATATCTTTACCTTTTTGGTGTAATTCTTTTAAATGTAAACAAGTGGCATTTGTCTTGTCTGTAATATAGTATAAACTAGCTAAGATAAGAATAAAACATTAAATTTTATAAGCTATACTGTTCAACAATCCCCACGGGATTAAGACACACAAAATTATAAATACTGGATGTGCAGTTGTATCTGGAATTGAGTTTTCATCTATGGTGGTTCTTTTATGAAAGCATATGCAAATTATATGGCACTGAAGAGTGGTTGAGAATTTGTCAGCCTGAAATGCATATGTAGAAGAGAAAATTGAATAATAAATTGTGCATGGTTAAATCATTGGATATTTGTTTGCTGTAGGAAATACTATACCTGACATAAAGGATTATAGAGTTATAATAATAATAATAATACAGCTAATTTAAGGAAATATCAATGTTTTTTATTCAGAAATTAAATGATCTCTGATTTTATTTTACATAATTTATGGATCCATAAAAATATTTTATTTTAATTACATTTAAGTAAGATATATCTTTAAATTATGAGTATTACATAATAAAATATATCTTAATGTATTTGTTTTCCTTATTTTAGGTCTGAATATGGAGCATTCTGGAAGTGTATGCAAGCTGGAGCAATGTATCTCTGTACTCAATTAGTGAAAATGCTTGTATTGGCTACTTTTTTTCCTGCTAATGACTCTTCTGCTAATCTGCCTGGAATTGAAGTTATTGGGGTAAGACACAGATATTTAAGTTTTACAGCAGTCACTTTAAATTTGGTTTATAAAATAATAATGCAGTTCAAAACTTAATTATTATTTTATAAACCCAACATAATTGCTGCCTGCTATAATGTCAATGTTTTACAAAATTGTTTTTGCTTTGAAGTATAATTTTTGATAAATCATTTATTTCTTAGTTTGAAAAGGTATTTTATTTTGATCTCTAAGAACATAGAACACAGAAATACAAGATGTTAAAAAAAGCATTCGGCATTTATATGGTAGATAGTGCACACATACTGATTAGTAAATGTAATATCTCGGAAACCATCTTGAGTTTTTGATCTGTTGTGTATGTTAGTATCATGACTTTTTATTGGCTTCTATGTGTTTCATGCAAAATGAAAAAGAATAATCTTGCCAAACCTTTACCTTGATATTTACAGGTGTTCCATATGTCCTTTTTCTATTTCTATGCATGCATAGCATCATCATCATCATCAACATGCAAACTCTCAAAAATTTCAGATCTTGTTTCTGAGATAAATAATCTGACAAAGTTTTTTACTTATGACGGTATTTATTATCTATCATATAAATGGTTTTTTTTATAACACCTGTATATTTTTATGTTGTTCAAATTTGTTAATTTTTAATCTTTTTAATTATTAGTTTTTAATACATTTATAAACTTTACATAAGAAACAATCCAAAAATCCATTTTTTTTAACATGGAAAATTCTTCTATAATATTTTAACATTATCTTAATGTTATTGACTGTATTTTTATATTTAAATAAATATTTTGAGTGTGTTTTACACACACAAAATATTTATTTAATATAAAAATACAGAAGAAATCAAGTTGTCTTCCTTTCCATCTTGTCTAATCATCAGGAACAAAGGAATTGTATTTATTTAATATCTAAATAAACCAAAATATTTTAAAAAAGATTTCACTCTTGATGAATATGATCAAACAGCTTTTTTTTACTATAAGTTAGTTACTCATAAAAGAATGAAAATATGCTAATAATTTAGAAATATAATATAACTTTGCTAATTCATCAGGGAAACAGGACAAAAGGTGTAATGGATTAAAGAAATACTGTAGGTGGACTGGTGAATATATCAAGGGATGGTTAAGAACACACATTTTGTACAATTTTATATCTAATTACATATGTATACAGATGTATAAATTATAAACTATATTATTGCAATATATAAATTTAATTAAATGAATACATTTTTTATTAATTAATTGAAATTTGAAATTATTTTTGTTTGCTTATGTTTATTATGACACTTCTGCAAAAATGTTTTTTGCATATTTATTTGTAAATTAGTTATGCAAAGTGATGCCAGTTAGGTAAAATGAGCTCCACAAAACAAAAGTAAAAACCAAAATATAACAACAAAACAATAATAACAGTAAAAATAAATTATATGTATGTCATTTCAGGTTAGTTGATGTAATATTTCAGGTTTGTCAGATTTGTAATATTTCAGGTTAGTTGATGTAATGTTAATATACTGTACTGTACATACAGTATGTTAACATTACACCAACTAACCTGAAATATGTAATAAAAGCAAATGTTCTGTTGGATATTCTTTGGACTATATAATATGACTAATTTTGGCAGATCTTTTCTCTTCTGTTAAATATTTCAGGTTAGTTGATGTAATGTTAATACATTTACACCATTCTGTAATAAGACCAATAGCTGATTGAGAACAATGTGGGCACAAGATGTCCCCAGTCAGTGCAGTTGGTAACATGTGTAGTTATATGTAAATTAATAGTTCTGGAAGCAAAGAATGGACAGAATTCCATGTGGTGTAACTGGCAACACATCTGCAGGGTAAGCAGGAGTTGCAGTTTGAGTCTCACTCTGGGACAATCTTTTCTTCTGGAACATTCTAAATTAAAATAATTAAAGTATTAAATGTATTATGAGGTGGTGGCTTAACCCCTACTTGTCAAATTACTTTATATGCAATTATTAAAATTTGTGATGATATAGCCCAAAAAATCTGGCAGATTGTTTGGATTATAATACATATAGATCAGTGTTGCCAGATTTGGCTACTTTGTGCCAAATTGGGCTACTTATTTTTCATTTTGGCATTAAAAAAAGCATTTGGTGCACTGGCTACTTTTTGGGCTACAAAAATTTGACTTGGCTACATTTTGGGCTGGTTACACAAATTATTTCATCCTTTGTTTTGCGCACAGAACGGTAATACTTGTTGTGCTGTCTACTCGTTTTGTTTTTAAACAAAGTATAATTTATATAAGTTTTATAATTTATTTATTATTGGTATTAAAATGGGAAAATGGACAAAGTATTCTCGGTCCTTTCGGAAAGAATGGCTTCAAGATAAAAATCTTAAAGGTAAGCACCTTTAAGATTTTTTTCTTGAAGCCATTCTTTCCGAAAGGACCGAGAATACTTTGGGGAAATTTTCCTCATTAAGTTGCATTTTTAAATATTTTGGCAAATGGCGTAATTTTAAATTTACTTAATTAAATTTAAACTTTTTAAAAAGATAGCTCCAGTAAGTATTCAGTCATGCTTGACAGGAGACTTTTTAGTTTATAATAGCTTATTTTTTAAAGAAAATTTAATATAAATTCCAGATAAATGATATCCTAGAAAGAAAGAAATAAGAAAAGAAAATGCATCTATAAACAAAAATGACTAATGGTAAATGCTATGCTATACGGAATGGTACCAAACATGGTTACTAGGGCGTAATTTTTATAAATTTTAATTGTTTTTGATAAAATTAGTAACAAATAACGTTACGCTAATTGCAACTGTTTGCCAATGTCAGCTTCTTGTAAATGTCTTATATAGTGTTACATGTAACATACAAAATTCATATATTACAAGAATGCTATTATTCCTCAACAACAATCAAATGAGCAAAATGAACATGAAGTACTAAAATTTGAAATTATCACGTTGAAAAATCACTGGTAAGATCATCATCATCAGAATCTTTTTCACTAGAATGTTTTTGTATGGTTGAAGCAGATGATGATTTCCAAGTTTAACATTTATCGCTGTAAGAACTCGATTTTGTAGTTTAGTTTTCATTAAATTTAATTGCAAAAAAATACGTTCAACTGCTGCATTTGAATGAGGAAGCAATAAAAACATCTATTTACTGTCAAAGTAAAGTAAAAAAATACAGAAATATAGAATAAAAATGAATGTTTTGAAAGGAAAGGTATTAGGATTTCATGAATGGTACTAGGAAAATGGTGTTGGGTATCTTGGTACTGGGACAAGTAAAAGGTACTAGATTAGTACAAAAGTATTAGGTAGAACAACACCTGGTACAAAAGTAGCCAACTGCTCCAGCAGTTGGCTACTTTTGGGCTACTTTTTAAAAATTATTTGGCTACAAGGGCAAAAAACATCTGGCAACGCTGATATAGAACCTCTACATTTTTGACAAAGTTGACAAATCTGTAAAAGAAGGTTCTCTGGGATATTAAAAGTCTAAAAAAAGGAGAATAAAAACAAAAAAAGTTATGAGAATTAAAGTTCAATATAGCTATGTTAAAATGAATGGGAATAAGACATTATTTTTAAGTACTCTGTCAAAATGCAACTCTGACCTGTAGATGCAGAACACCTAAACAAGAACATGCAATATTCGATGAGTTAGTAAAAGTTAAAATTGCAAGTTTGTTTTATGAAAAATGGGTTTTGGAAATTTCATTTATAACTTTGACTTTCTGCCTCTGCCTCATTAAAATTGTATAAAAGGCAGAGATAGGAAGATGATAATCAATTATTGCTTGGAAATTTATAAAAATAATTAAATGTGAGATGAGACAATTTTAGAGGATATACATTGGCAGTTTCTCCATAATATTCTCCTGTTTAGGATCAAACTCTTTATATTTACTGTCAATATAGTCTTTAAAAGTAAATTTATGTTAAAATTAATGCTGTTGACTATTGTAATATCATGATAGCCTGATTTCACATTTAAAATATACAGAGATTTGGTAAGGGCAAAAAACATAATAATGGTCTTAAGGTTAATTGAGAGATTTAGATAATGTAATTTAGAGGACAGTTCATTTAAGCTATTTTTTTTTATATGTACTGTATTGTTCACTGTTAATAATCTTGATATCATTAATCTGCATAAACTACAGTAGCTAAAGTATGTTGGTCAAAAATTTTATTTATGTAAGCTATAAAAAATAAGTTACTTAGTATAGAGCTTTGTTATATTCCCATAGGGGTGTGAAAATGTTGAAGTACAGATCATTAATTTTTATTTTGTAGGTACATAAATATTTTACATAATGAATTCTACAAAAACCTTCATATTCTTCTGATTAAATAATAATACCTTTTAACAGTTTATTTGATATGAGATATGTCAAGTTGGTGACAGTAGATCAGTGAGGTAAGCCACAGTTTTGGTTAAAGGAAATATTACTGGTTATGAAAAAGTATACATGGTTGTAAATACAGTAATGCCTTGTATAACGTACTTAATCCGTTCCAGGTGCACATCCATTAAGTGAAAAGTCTGTTATACGAAACGCATTTTCCCATAGAAATACATGTTAAAACATATAATTCGTTCCGCAGCATAAAATAATCATACTGTAGCATTAAAAAAATGAAAATGGAGCAGTCACCAATTATGCTGGGTAGTCAGATGTTGTGAGGAGGAGGAACACTTTCTTCTCACATTCATACAGATACAGACTTTTTACACATTGCAGCAGGTCTCTTTTTATTGGTTTTTAATCAGAGTCAGATTCAGGAAAGGCTACCAGAGCTTGCAGGGTCATCTCCTCTTGTTCCATCCTTTGTTTTTTTGGCAGCTTGCTTCTTAAAAAAACATGTCCAAGGTGGTCCGTTTCTCTCTCTTCTTCAACACCTGTCAGAAATGACGGGCAAGGGTGTCATTGTATAGATCAGTGTTTTTCAACATTCTTGAATATGCGACAAGTTAAAAAATTCTGGCGACCCCCACAGCTATATTAAAACTATGTCAGTGATTTTCTTTTACAGTATTTAATTTTCTTTCTGTTGAGACTTGATTATTGATTAGATATTGATTAAAAAAAAAACTAATTGTACTGTAAAATAAACAGGCACAGCCTTCTCACTAAAATTGTATTTTTTTTTATTGTAGTGTAGGACCTAAAAACACTTGTCTTTTTCTTTTACCCGCGACCCCCATGTATGGCTTTGCAACCCACCTGGGGGTCGCGACCCACAGGTTGAAAAACACTGGTATAGATCATTGATCCTGTTGGCCTCAACTATGTGTGGATAATGAGTGTTGGTAAACTCCTGAACCTCTCCCCATTGGACAAGGAAGTTTTTGTCAACTTTCACTCCTTCTGATGATGTCTTGCTTTGTTTCAATTGAAATCACCTTTCTGTTTTTTTAGAAGCCATGATTTGCATAACACTTGAATAAATGTAAATACCCTGCACTGAGGTGATGTAAGCAATAAACAAGGGAGCAAGATGAATCCCAACGGGAGCTCTGTACTTCAGATATACTAATAATATATTCTAATAATACTAATATATTATAAAAATAGCAGATTGTCATTGGCAACTGCAAAAGTGTGGAAACATCATTCGCACTTGTTCGCAGAAAGACCATTGTTTGCCTCACATAACTGCTGAACGGAAAGTCCGTTGTTCGCAGCCAGTCCGTTGCTCAAGTCATGTAATGGCCAAACAGAAAGTCCGTTGTTCGCAGCCAGTCCGTTGCTCAAGTCATGTAATGGCCAATAAGAAAGTACGTTGTTTGCAGCATCCGTTATTCGAGGCGTACGTTATACGAGGCACCACTGTACATATGTCCAAGATTTTCAACATAGCACGGATTAGAATATTAGGCAGAAAGTTTCGTGATCTTTTTTACTTTTCCAGCTGTTATATAGCATAACAAGGGAAGTAATGGAATTGTGTCAAATATGACCCTCTGAGTTGTTTGCAAATCTCCATGTTTTGAGACCCATGAACCCAAGAAAGTAAAAGAAAAAAACTGCAAATTTCTGTCTATTTTGTTCAATATCTCAGGATGGGATGAAGATATTAAGATTGCTTTGTCAGAAAAATAAAAAGCTGGAATTACAAGGAAGAGTTTCAAGATTCGGAGGAATACTATCCGATCGGTCTATACCAGCTTGTGCGTCAATGTCGACGTCTCCCGCACTCCGAAAAGTTTCGAATTGTTGCCCGAAGACAAGGGAAGACCAATCGGTATTCATTATTTTATGTCGCTTCTTCTTGTGTTTGTTCTGTGGGGTGTTTGTTGTCTGAACATAAAAGTCTTTTGCAAAAGTGTGCATTATCCGATTTGTTCGTTATCCAATCACCCACTGTATTATGTTGAGTTTATACCGGCAGCTATGTATTATGCTGGACCAGAGTCAAGGCATAGTCACCAAAACAAGACAAAAATTAAATTAGTATGTCAGTGTGTGTGTGTCTGTATTCAGAATTTTCCTAACAATATGACATGTTATTATTATTAATATTTACAGAAAAGAGTAAAGTTTATCTTTTCTTTAATACAAATATACATATGTAGAATATTATTACAATGAAAAGGTTATTACAATGAAAATATTACACATATGAAACTATTAATGCCTTATATATTCCTAAAATGCATTTCAGTCCTCTTCAGTTAGGTGATGTTCACTTAACTGAAGAGGACCAAAATGTATTTTAGGAATATATAAGGCATTAATAGTTTCATGTGTGTGATAATCCTTTTTTTATGATGTATAATACAAATATACTTTATTACACATAGGGCTGGATTAACCACTTTGGGCCCTAGACATTTTCTTCTTACTGGGCCTCCTCCCTCCCTCTCCCACAAGAAAAAGAGCACACAAAAATATAAAACAAAACTGAATAATGTGAAAAACTAATTTATTTTATATTTTAACAGTATGATTCAGTATATTATTATTATTATTTTTATTAGTAATTTGTTAAGTTTGATATACAATTAATTAAACAAAATTGTAACACGTGTCAGGTGTGTTTATGTTACCGAGCTTTCAATGTACAGTCCACAGAATTGTCACACGTGTCAGGTGTGTTGATGTAATTGTATCCCTAAGAATGTGGGGTGAGATTTTCCCACCTAGAGAGGGAGAAATTGTGCACTTCCCTTTTTGGTGTGTCGGGTCAGTGCTGACCAGAGTGTGTAGCTGTGTAGAGAGTGTGGCTGGTAAAGNTTGTTCGATGCATAAAACAGCTAAAGAATTTAATTTTGATTCACTCAGTGAGTTTCATAAATAATTTTTTACACGTTTTAATAATGAGAATGTCTGTTTAGTATTCCTCGATGCCTGCATCGGGCCGTTCAACTGGCTATCTACCGGTATATACAGTATATAAAATTACGTCCTGAACTAACTGATTCATCATCGCCCAGAGAAAACCGCTGAACCTAGAGGTGAAATTGGGTACACAGTTAGTCTACATCATGAAAATACACACTAAAAAAAAAAAGGAGAGATTTTTGGAAATTTCCCCGCGGGGGAGAGAAAGAGGATTAAGGCTTAATCTGAAGAACGGCTATACTGTACTATTTTAGATGCGATTTTTATTTTTGATAGAAATAACTTAATTTCCAAACGTACAATATTTACCGAATCATTTGCCCGTGCAACGCCGGACTCATTTGTTAGTAATATAATATAATAGAAAGATTAGAAGTACGAAATAATCTAATAATCTTAACCTTTGCTGTTATTTTTGCCCGGGCTCATCATCTTGTAGTTAATTTTATTCTTATCGCTATAAAAAAAATTCTAATTTATCGGAAAAATTACTTTCAATAAGAAGAAACATAAGAATACATTTTCTTTAGATTTTAGAATTCACAATATATTTTTGTTTATTATATACAGTTGTCCAACAGAAAAGTAAACTATCTTATTTACAAATCTTTTCAAAATAGACAGTTTGATCAGGTCCTAGACATTTGTCTCATTTGTCTATGCGATGATCCGGCCCTGATTACACATACATAAAATATTTTAATAATAATCTTTTAACTCTTTCATTGTAATCTTTTCTGTTTACAGTGTTAATATAGTATTTAAAATATCCAAAGAAACTTTTTATGCGCTATTTTATAATTTAATATTCTGTTCAGTTCTTATGATGATAATTTATAGCCCTTTATCAAAGTGTGCCAATAATTATCAGACTAATTAAAATTATAAGTTATGGAACAATATTTTGGTATCATTGTATAGAGCAGGGATAGTCAACCTTTTTATACTTACCGCCCACTTTTGTATCTTTGTTGGTAGTAAAATTTTCTAACTGCCCACCAGTTCTGCAGTAAGTTAATTTAGTGCAACTGCAAAGTACTCATAATTTTTGAGTGACAGTTTAGTAAAAGTATGTAGTTAAATTTATCTTTTTACAGTAGAGCGTCGTTTATCCGAAAGCTGGTTATCCGAAACGTCCGTTATCCGAAAGCATTCCAGTCAGCAAATTTAAATTTTCGCTAGTGCTGTGGCGTTGCAATCTTCGGCTATTTCTCGGGCTACTCAAATATTTTACGTTTTTGATACTAAATTAACATCTGAAGTATAATTTTTTATTGTTTTTATATTTTTCAATATATTTATTTTGTTTGTACAAAATAAAAAAATAATTTTTAACGATATATATAATAGTCTTCGTAGGCTTAACATCGACGAAAATTCAACGCAAGGTGACACGCAACGGAGAAAAATTTCAACACGGGATAAATTAATATATTTTTTCGTACATGATTCGTTATCCGAACCACCCCAGTCCCCAATTGATTCGGATAAACGACGCTCTACTGTATTTATATTTTGCATATGTTTATAATACACATTTTTTTTGCATTAAACTGAAAAAAGTAGCTAAATCTGGCAATGCCAACCCACCACAAAATGAGCTCAACTTGATGATGGCCACTGTTACAGTACAACCTGCTCGGTCAGTAAGTCATAGATACACAGTGATAATGGAAAGTAGCTTCAACATCTGACAAAATCCCTACCAACCACCACAAGAGCTCAAATTGCCCAATAGTGGGAGGGACCAAGATGACTACCACTGGTATACAGGCATGTCACTAGAACAATAAAAAGTCTAATGAACATTTTTAGTTATAATGGTTGATGCCAAAATAAACACATTTAAAATTGTTATAATTTTATAAAAAGTTATTGATCATCATTTATGTTTGAAGTTATATAACCCGATGAAAGCCTTTTAAATAAGGTCTAAAATGTTCATTTGTTATTAAAGAATTCATTATTGTTTTTCTGTGATATTTTGTCATTAAACAAATATTATTTTATTAATAAAAATGTCCATAATGTAATGATAAAATTTTAATTTTTTTTTATCTTGCTTCTCACTGGAAGACTTCATTAAAACTGGACATGGTAAGCTTTTATTATATTAAGTGTGATATTAATTCATTTACCTCATCCAAAAGATTAACCTAAATATTTTTGGTGTTGTTTCACATGGTATCTTTAATTATAAATATTTAAACTTTGATTGCCACTTGTGTACGTATCACATTTTTTTATCTTGAATATTATTCTTATTGATGCAGTAGAACCTCGAAAACTCGGCCTAATGTGGACCGAAGGGTGGCCGAGTTTGTGAAAATGCTGGGTTATCGGGAATGAGGTTAAAAAAAAATAAGTACGAGTGTTTCCTCAGAAAATACTGTACTGTACTTGTATGTATTGTTTACTTGAGAATA